AAAAGATGCTCGACTAGTTTGATCTTTCATCTCATGAAGTGGGGCTTTGCTCAGAACCCTTGGCCAGCTTTGCTTGCACGAGTCTGTCCAAAACTGGAGGCTCCAGAGGACTCGGATCCAAACAACGCTCTGCGCTACTCACTATAACCTGCAAAATGATCAAAATATATAATCAGTCAAAAAAAGTTGATCAATTATGTTGATCGTTAACCAGACAAGTATAAGGCGTGTTTTAAATAATGTGACATTACACCCCACGAGCCTCAAAGGTGAAGCGAAGCAAAATCTCACCTCGTCAAGCAAGAAATCAACAGCGGCTTCATCCTCTGCAATATCCTTCAGAGCAGTCTTCAAAAAGTGGATATCCAATTGGATTTGCTGGAATCCGCTCCGGTTAAATGTTTGGAGACGCACAAACTCTTGTAAACTCTTCAGTGAGAGTTTCACGATAGTTGTCACGACTGATTCCTGCAAATCGCAAATGTCACTTTTTTTTTCTTTTTTTTTAATAACAGGATACTGGACTGGTACGAGGTTTTTCCCCCAACCTGTGTGTGCTCGACTTTGGTGAATATCTCCATCTTCTGCTTAAACAGCTTGGCAAGGTGGCTTTCTAGAAGCTGGCTCCGGGCCTTCTGAGTGGTTGACCTACCCAACTTATCATCCCGCAAAGTATTACTGCGCGAGGATGCAGTGCTCCCGTTGCTGTTTGTTCGACGGTGTTTATTGTTTGGCCCTTGCGGCAAAATTTGCTTTACTTCGCTTGTGATTTCTTCAAACTAATATGGGATAGATCGAGAAAATCACTCTAGTTTATCAATAATTGATCGTCATATGCAGAATCTAAACTATGAATCTCTCATCAAACTGAAGGAACTAGAGCTTTATAAATATATTGTACTTCCATGAGATAGCCAAAAGTGATGACACCAAGTAAATCGATGAGCATAAAACTTATACCTCCAAAAGAAGTAAATCCACAAACATATGCACTTCTCTGGGTTCTTTGTGCTACAGAAACAGGCAAGAGATAAATTGTTTAGAGGTGTCTTGTAAGGGGTAAAAGACATGCAAGTTGCGGTTCAAAGGAGTCCCATTCACCTTGACCCAGTTTGGGGCTGTAAACCTTTTCTTCAGGAGAACTGATATTTTCTGAGTTCTCATCTTAATGTACTGAAAAAAAGACCCCGTGTTAAATGAGAACTAATTCAAGCAAAAATTTAGTAACTACAGGAAAATTTATCAAATTGTTGTAGAATGCCCACCACACGCAAACAACTAGAAATATTCAGCTGTCATGCTCAGTCCTTTTTTTACTCTTCATTTGCTACTAGGCATATTTCAATAAAATATGTGACAAACCAAATGCCTCAACAGAAACATTCCTCAGTCTTCAACAACAACAACATACAACAACAACATACCCAGTATATTCCCAACTGGTTGGGGTCTGGGGTCAGTTATACGCAGACCTGACCCTTGTAATTATACAAGGAGGCTGTTTTCGTAGCGACCCAAGGTGCATTGCGTCGTATGATATATTTTTTTTCTAGAAACTTCACTAATAGAAGAAGCACTAGAATTTAATTGAGTCATTTTGATCTAGTCCATTATTAGCACTATGCCAGGAGAATTGTCAACATTCCTCAGTCTTCACTACCAAGTAAATTGATTTTCAGTAAAATCAGGAATTTTGACAGACAAAGTTATACCGAATACGAAAATGCATGGATGCTTAAGATTTTGAGTCAGAGTCCTCACAAGGTGCAAGAAAGTTTCACTAGATGACCGAAGGATGCGGCAAATTTCAGCAGGAACAAATGCTGGACCCTTCCCGAGGCCATGTACACCACCACCACCAGAAAAAGAGGCAAGTTCCTGAAATTTTGCAGGGAATGTCATGCAAACAACAAACCTGTATGTGTACATTCGAATATAAGGATGCAATTATAAAGAACTCCTGTCTCAGAGCTGGTTCCTTGCCTCTGTAATTTTAGGGATGGCACTTCGTTCAATAAAAAGAGCGAACTCAGCCAGCACAAGAACAAGACCGGCAGCAATTTTGTCCCCTGTCATCTCCTCCATCAATTTCATATCTTGACTTGATGCATTACTCTTTCCAGAGAGCAACAGGAAATAACCATGAAGCTTCTGGAAAAAATCTTGGAACCCTTCTAGGACCCAATCAATTGTTAAATCTCTCAACTTCAGCAGTAATTCTGAGTTTTCATCAAGTAGCCCTTGGAAGTCCTGGTTTCCACAAAGATAAAGTTAATCTTGAAGCAGTCAATTTATTATGACCGAATCACTCACACACACAGATTATTCTGTAATATTATCAGGTACACAAAGTAGATTCATGTGATCTAGTAAAAATGATAAGTCAAATGGAGCATAATTGAATTCAGTGTTTAAACACGCATTCAGACTGATCGTCAATCTTTACCAGGCCATGTTTAGAATTATATAATGATTATTTAGAATTACGATACTTGAAAGCTAGACCTCTAGTCCTGAATAGCCTTGGTCCTCTTTGCTCTGACATTTTGAGTGGACATATTCTTTTATACATTTTGAAGAGAACAAATTGCCAAAATACCATATCATTCTTTTAAGTATAGAAGGGATGAACAAACCGGTTACATGCTAAAAGAGTTGCAATACATGGGCCAAGAAATCTACCATAAAGATAATTTAGAGAACATAAAAAAGGAAACATTAACAAACGGTACTTTATCTGGTTTTCATTTTTACCAGTAAGATATCTGTAGTGCCTTGGATCATTGCCTTTTTGCTGGCTTCAAATGTTTTCTGCAGAGAATATTCTTCCTCTATCCCTTCTTTTGGTGTTAGTTGAACTTTGGTAAGGTAATCTGCGAAATAATTAGTTTCAGACAGATAATTAACTTTTGTAGGTTGAAGATATGTAGCTCTCAGGCAATCATTCATTCAAAAGTCAAGTACTCTTGATGCTAACCACATGGAATCCGTTGAATGTAAAAATAGAAAGAGTGGCAAGATGCTCAGGAACTATATATATAGCAATAAGTAGAAAAACTAGAAGTAAATTTAGTGTATATCATAACATAGTACTTACCTGAAATGCAACTGAAAAGATTGTTGAATGCATTGGAAATATAATCTTTAGCAGCAACACGAGCATGCTGAAAGACAGAAAAATTATCAGCTTGTTACTCATTTAACAATATAAAAATCAACAAATAAATCCAGATTAACGATTGCAGGCGATTATATCCCATGTAGTGCGGGTTAATTAAAATATCATGACCTGCAAAGCAAAATCAGTTAAGGAAGCTTCAGGTAGCACTTCATCCATGAGAAGCACGTCATTCCAAATAACTCCTGAAAAACATCCACATTAGGACTTATATCACGTTAAAAATACAAAACCCAATGTCAGGAGATCACTGTCAACTAATCTATCCATTTGCTCAAACAGTATCTTAAAAGATGTAGAACTACATGATTTCAATAGAAGTCGAGAAAATCCTCATAAAGCCTTTTTTTCCGTGCCTATAACAAATGATTGATAAATAATTGGAGTACTGGACATGGAATCAAATCAGAACACAGAAATGCTTAAACTTTCGTTCACACTATTATTCATATGACAAGGGAAACAATATGCACTGTGCCGTCTTCTTAGCCTTCTGAGACACAGGTGGCCAACAACTAAGCTGCTACCTAACTGTAAACAGATTCTAACAGGCAACTGATGATTATTTCAAGAGACTGAAAGTGGAATTAATGACACATAACAGCAGCTTGAGCTTTTTCACAACATCTAACAGAGACATTAAAATTTGTGTCAGCCAATCTTCTTGAAGGATTTCACTATTACACTCCCACCACCATTTACAGCCATAATTACTTCTACCCTTTAAATGTTATTATGACTCGAATGAAATACCAGCCACCAGATCGGTCATAGTCTTGCTGCATATGCAAACAAAATAAAGAGATGAAAAGCTTCAATCTATAAAATATTTAAAGTAGTGAGTCCAATTCCCAAAACAAAAATTGAAATAAGATGGTGAACTACTTACGAAGCATCGCCAAAAGATCAGCAGAGCTAATCTTCTTCATAATTTGTTGAGATGCGGCTTCGAAGTGCCTAACATATAGGCAACATCACATATATTATAGGAGAAATTATCAGCATTTCACCATAATTTACCACTGAAGAGGTTATACGAAAAAGAAACTGGTTAATAAAGTAGCCATACTTCTTAACGAGGTCCTGTGCAAGTTTTGATAGCTCTGGTTCTGAATGCAAGAATATAACTTTATAAGCTCGAACAGCTTCAGCAAATTCACGAATAGAAGCCTGAAAGTAATGCTAGTTTCTTAAATAGTATTATTGAAGCTTAGCTACCAAGAATGTAGTTGATGAACTAAGAAAGAGAACTCATAACCTAGCGAATTATTTGTGAGCCCTGCTGTCCGGAGGTTATATAAAGTGTATAGGGAGCAAAAGTTACTTGTATATATACACGTATCTATATCTATATATATATAATCTATATATATATAATTGCTGGCATACAACATTTAATAAAACCTAATTAATAAAACCTATAGTCATTTTCCCGCCATTTTTTCAATTAATGTAGAACCGTTACATTTTATTTTCCCGCTCATTTTTTCAATTAATGTAGAACTGTTACATTTTACATTATAATTTTAAACTAAATTATTCACTACTAACACTAATTGATTACAACTTTGCATTAAATAGTATGTGGAAGTTACATACTTATAAAAAATTGTATTGCAATTTTTTTATTTAAAATACTCTCTAAAATAAAATATTTTTTGTCCTTTTAAGCGGTTTTTATCTAATATTAGTTAATTGGCGTGAGTGTCATAATTAAACACCATAAAATCACATAACCAATTATTATGATAAAAATAATTATTATATTTTTCTAACTAATTAATTGTATGATCCGTAAATTACTAAATTATACTATCTAATAAATTTTATGGCATCAACATAAAGATTCATACGTAAATTAAATAATTTATATTTACATTACACATTTGCATATATTCAAAATTTAAAATGTAATACATCAATTATCTAATATAATTTTATATATTGTATACATCCATATAATATATAAATTTGCACTTTTCTTTGTGCATGTGCACAGGATGAATATTATTTGCTAGCTAATCATTAAATAAAACCTAATTAATAAAACCTCATTTATTTTCCCTCCAAAAGAAGTTACAAAATTTGTCATTCATATTTTGCCTTTCACATTAATACACCCCTATTAAGTGTAATCATGTAAAAAAATTAATAGCATTAACTATTATATAATATAATAGCAAAAAAATAGCATTAACTACTATAATAATAATATATAATAATAATAATAATAATATCTTGAAATAATAAAATTGTTTATACTTATGTAATTTATATTTAGTGTGAAATATTATGAGTTGGTAATAGCATTAACTATTTTATAATATAATAGCAAAAAAATACATGACTACACTTAATATGGTGTATTAATGTGAAAGGCAAAATATTAATGACAAATTTTGTAACTTCTTTTGGAGGAAAATAAATGAGATTTTATTAATTATGTTTTATAAATACATGATTACACTTAACTAGTTGTTACCCGTGCATTTGCACGGAAAACTATATGATAAAAAATAAAATAGTAAAAATATAAACAATAGTAAAAATTATAACATAATCATTGAAAAAAAAAGTTTTAAGAAAGAAAATTCAAATATAATTAAACACTTCT